CTTTCAGAATTAACTATCCTTTGTTATTCTCGTTCATAATTGTGTATTTTGATCATTCCTACACTATTATTTTTTTTTCAACCACGAATTATCTTTATGGATTAATTATCTTTCGGCAAGCTATTCAAGAAACTTTAGAAGGTTTCAGTGATTTTAGAGATAGTATTAGCAATCATATGAATGTTTTTAATCATAGTGTGAATATGTTTATTTGTGATGTAAATAAAGTTGAACAAATTGTTAGAACACCATAGAATATATACCTACTAAAATTCCTAAAATTCACATATACTATTTAATAAAATTGGCTATGATCCCAGTTTTTGAAGATATTTAGCTACTCTGACCCACATGTCTATGAGATTGTATGACATACCAGTACAATTGTGTTTTATTAAATGTTAAAAAAAATTAAACGTATGTACATATATGACATTATTACATAAAAAAGCAGAAATGGCGATAATGATAAACAAAGTCTGCACAGCAACTTTTATGAAAAGCAATGCAAGTTAGATCTTAGGCCGTTCCAATTTGATTCTATGTTTAACATAATGGTCAACAAGTTATAAACTTATGATTGAACAAATTGCTCTACTATGGATAAATTTAATAAATTAATCAATGATTAAGATGATAAAATTCTTTCTGATGAAAAAGAAAAACTGAGAATAGAGATGACATTTTTGGCATATTAAATCACTTTCTTTCCCGACACCCTCATTTTCACAGGGAGGTGATGATTAGAAAAATAAAAGTGTCAGAAAAGTGTCTGTTCATATAAGAATAGAACTTTTGCCTGCAGTTTATCATTAAATGAATTAATTAACATATGAAAATAAATTCACTTTATTTTATAACGATGAATCTTAATATGTCACATGTTTTGGGTCAAAATCCCGACATCCAAAATCTCGAGAACCATAATCCCGACGTGACAATTAACATTTAAAGATTATTAATCACATTAACAATCATTGTTAGACTTTGAATTTTTAATTGTCACATCGCATGATGACCTGTCGATATTTTGGATATTGGGATTTGGACCCCAACATGTGGGTGATGCTGAGCTAAAACTTGTAAAAATTTTATATATTAAATATAGTTATTGCATGCGAAGTACGTATGCAATAATTAAGTTTATCTCAGAATTTAGAGTTGTTAATAAAGGGGATAGATAGATTTTGGAAAGTATTTCCAAAACTGAGCCTTAAAAATCAGTCAGCATCAACGGTGACAATAATTAATATAAATCAAAGTGTGTCATGTATAATTTACAGAGGATTTAAGTTAAAAAGTTAATTTAGCGAAATATGCGGCATATTTGTTTTATGAAATAAACTATTTAAGTTACAAGGTTCAGCAAACTGTAATCATTCCCAGCGCTATGTAGGCCATTTTATGATCTGGAACATAATGAACATCTTATTTTAGACTCGTCCAAAAATTATTGATGATACACCGCAGCAAATTTTTGACTTGAGTGAAATGTTGGGATACTGATACATCAAAAGACCAACCACAGAAAAATTAGTGAATGATATAAATGTTTTATATACCAAAAGGCACGACCTTATCGATACTTTGAGTATCAGGTTTACTAAGCAACAAAATCCTTGAGCAATATATTCAAGTCGTCCATTGAGATCTTTGATCAATACTGCTTTACAAAGCATGAAATTAAGTTCTCCAGATAACATAATTACAGGCATGGAAACAAATTACTTATTCACATCATAATATCCTCAATTAAAAATTAAATCAATACTAAGTCTAAAATAATATTATTAGAATATGTTTCTCAAGATATTTCATTAGTAAATAATTGGCAAGTGTTTTCTATAATGATAAAGATTAGAGCCGTTAATGGCTTGAATAGCTCGGCTTGGCTCTTAAAAGCCATGAGCCATGGCTATTGAAGTCACGGCTCGAGTCACGGCTTGAGCCATGGCTTAAGCCATGCTAATAAAGATAAAGATAAAGCAGGGAGGACCATTGATGTTATGCACAACACATAAAATAACTATTTTATAGTGCCCTCGGCTTTAACTCTCCAATGGCATCTTGATGCCGTCAGAGAATGAGCTGAGTTTAAGATGTGCTAATTTTTTAATAAATTGTATTATTCTACCTGACACATTGTAAACCCTAATTTTCAGTTGAGTGAAACATGAATTTATGAAGGAACCATAAATTCATTTTTTTTCAAGTGCTTGCATGAATCAAGAATATTGGTTCCTTTTTATTTTATTTTATTTTATTTTTTTTATTTTAATTTTTTTTCTTTTGAATTAACATAAAAAAAGAAAAATTCTGATAAAGAGGACGAAAAAAATCAAAACCTCCAAAATAAAAAAAAACAATATATATTTACAAAAAAAAAAAAATGAATATGAAAACTGTTAATTGTAAAAAAAATAATAGTGTAGGAATGATCAAAATACACAATTATGAACGAGAATAACAAAGGATAGTTAATTCTGAAAG